AATTTGTTCATGTGTGAAGAGAATCTTCTCATAATTGTTAACACCATAAGTTAGAATTTAATATTTAAAACTTTGTTGGATACAATTTGTGTTATTAATGAAGTGTCGAACTTTTTTTTTTCGAGTTTTTTAATATCATTTTGATATATAAGTTTAGAAGAAAAACATAATAGTAAAATTCCTGTTGGATACAAATTAGATACTTAGAAAATATTTAATAATTTTATTATTTCCATGTTAAAAATAATTTTAAAATCTTAATAAAAAATTTTGTTTTACAAGTTGTTTGGCTGAGTAATTCTTGAGCTGTGATTAATCAAGGAGCAGTTGGATTTCTTTAACCAAATAATTGGTTGATTTCTCAAATTGGTCCACAAAACACTGAGTGGGTGCTGTCTTTTCATATATGTCCCAAAACATTAAAAAATAAAAAATAAAAAAGGTGGGCACACTCTCATGGTAAATGGCCACAATGGCTTTGTACAAAAGCAAGAGACCATTTTTGATATATATATATATATATATATATATATATATATATATATGTTATTTTATTTTTTTTGTTAAAACCTCTTTCTTTTTCTAGTTCTTATTATTTTCTTTTTTCTCGACAAGAAAAAATAGTTAAAATGGTTACTTATTGCAGTGAAAGTAATCGATGAAAGTTTTAAATGTGTTGTCGATGGAAATATCGAAATCTAAATTTTATGAAAATATTAATGGAAATATCGATTAAATGTCGATGTTGATCGATATTTCTGTAAAATCATAAAAAAATATTTAAATATTTTTCTATTTCTGAATAAGTTTAAAATGATTAATATTAATATTAGGTATATATTAGTGACTTTTTGGTGACATTTTTCATATTTTGTTGATTTTTTGGTAATATGATGAAAATGTCGATTTATCTCTCATATCGATGTCAAACCTATAGATACATGGAAATGTCGATGTTGACATGTCAACGTGTCGACARATATTTAATACCATGGTTGCAGTAACATTCAAGGTACTTCTTTTGTTGCATGAAAATACTTGGGTGCTGAACGGTGAGCATCTATCGTAGAATTTTATATAGCTCATTGTTCTTTTTCAAATTTTTTTTTATATTTTTCAAATTGTTTCTTATTTGTCAAAAATTTAATGGTAGTCAGCACAAGATAGATGTTCGCCGGTATTTTCCTTTCCTACCACTTGAATTTTGCTTTTTTACGTTTTGCAAATATTATACGAGAAAGAAACTACGACGAGTTTGTTAGAATCCATATAAATGAATTAAATTTACCCAACCCATCAGCTTAAGCTTTTGGGTTGAGCAGTGATTTATTCATTCTCAAGAGAGTTAAAATAAATAACCGTATATTTTTCAAGAAATAGAAAAAAAAGAACAAAAACAAATAATGACACTACTATAAAAAAGTTTAATCAACTTATATGGTCAATTTTCATTGAGTTCTTGTTTCCTTTGGGAATGAGAATCAAAAAATGAAAATCAAAATCCATTCCCTTCGATGATGTTTACTAAATTGTAGAAAGGTAATGGTGGAATTCATATCAAATTTGGGGTCCGTGGGCCTTTGCACCTTTATAATAATTAGTTTACAACTTTTATCATTTCTAGAAAGAGTTAATGGTTATTAAATATGTTTTTGTTTCTTTATCTTTTATTCGTACAACACATGGAGTGGAGAGATTTGAACCTTCTAGTCAAACATGTCTTAACTCGCTAAACTATGCTTAGATTGACTTCTATTTCTTTGTTTTAATACTAAAGAAATGACATGAAATAATAAACAAGAAACAGTAACAAAAAATAGTTATGTTTTTCATAATTGAAAAAGAAGAGACAATAAACAAGAATATTATCAAATGAGCTCTAATTAACTTGACGTTGTTTCTCAAAAATCCTAATTCCTAAAACCCAACTCCCTAAACTTATATTTTCCTTTATTCAATAACTTCATTATCTCATTACCTCTCGCTAATCTTTCACACAATTAAARTGCCCACCACTCAAACTAAATATYAACTGCAAATTTGAGCATAGCTAATTGTTTAAGATATATATCTTAAATCAAATATTTCTCTATCCCTCATATTTCTGAACTAAATATATATATATATATATATATAAACTTATTTTATCTTTTTTTACCATATTCATATGAAACGTATCACGTAATTTGATAATGTCTCATAAAGTATCAATATTGAAAATGATTTAATCAGATTATAAGCTCAAGTCAGATTAAAATGAAAAAATGAAACAATTCTTTTTTTTGGAATAAAATTTGTTATATGCACTTATTTGTAAATTTAAACGTGAAAAATGAAGTCTAATTAAGAAAGACAGATTTGTTAAAACTTCCCATGCAGTGGAATAAACATAAAGCAACCGTTTGGTTGATGCATTTCACAAAATGAGGATTTTTCATTTTGGTCTCGGGCGGAGTWCCATGATTTTAAAAGTTTCAATTTAGTCTTCAATATTTCCATCAATTTGATCCCTATAATTTCAAAAGTTTATAATTAGTCCTATAATTTAAGTTTAGTTTCAATTTGATCATTATGGTTTGATTAAATCTTATAAGTTGTCCATAAATTGTGTTTTTTTTTAATTTACATAATGTGGGGTGAGAGATTAAACTCACAACTCTAAAATTGAAAAATTACAACTAAACTATGCTCGTTTTAACCCTTTAAGATCCATTAAAAACATCCACTTTTTTTTACTCAATCTTAAAYCCTTATGCATTTAAGTAAKGCYGTTACCCAAATATAAAATTGTTACGTAAAAAATTGTCAATATGACAATGTTAAAGATTTGTAAAGTTTGATTAAATTATATAATTAAATTGAAAATTTTGAAATTAAATTCAAAGTAAACTCAAACCATATTGAATTAATAGCTTAACAAGTTATAAAATTTAAATTTTGCGCAAATTAATTAATTGATCCATTTTCCCCTTTTGATGTGACTAATATAATAAGGAAGCAGTCAAGCAAGCCTTCTTCCTTCCCTTTTTCTTTCCATTRTTCGTTTGAGTTTAATTAGGCCACTTATCACGTTTTACTAAACACTTACATCAATTATTTGAAAATAATAACATAGCTTGACAATTCTTTTCTGACCAAAAGGTATTTTTCATAAAAGAAATAATAATAAATTTAAAATTGAATTTCTTAAATATATAAATATATATGGCTGGTTAATAAGTATAAAGTTCATAACTAAATTTTAAATAAATATATACGTTTTTAGTTCAACAGTTATAGATGTGAGGATTGAATCAACGGTTTTTTAGATCAGAACATATGCTTTATCTATATATTTAGTATTCGAATAGACAATTTACTGTTTGCGTGATGGTCAACAAAAATCGTTATCCAAGAAAAAGAAGAAGAGCCATACATAAATTATTGAATTGAATAAGTCAAAAAGTGTATGAATAAACTTGAATTTTTAAAATATAAAAAGAAAATTTATATATGTAAAATCATAAAAGAGGACTTTTAAAAAACAAAACATAAAAGAGATATATAATTTACGTTGATAATATCAATATCTTGAACATGCTAAAGAAATTTAAGTTTCTAAATATCTATACTTCTATATTTTATTTTAATCCTTGTACTTATATATTTTATTTAGTTCATAAATTTTTATACGTGTAAAATTTAGTAATTTTAACTCGTAAATATTTTGTTTAATAAAATTCTAATATTTGCATAAAAAGTTATTTTAACTATTATCTTGTATTTTAATGAATTTTATTTATTACTTAAGTCCCCATCACTAGCTAGTTGCCCATTAATTAATTAACAAAAACTTTGAAATKGTATCAAGAATGGTAAATGTATGATTATTTTTTAAGAGAAAAAATTTCTAACTCGTCTTTGGGAGAAACTCCGATTAAACCTTAAAAGAATTTTGAATTTTTTTTGTCCTTAATAATTTATACAATTTTCAAAATCATTTTCAATAATCTAATGATCTATTACAGAAATTTAAAAAAGTACTTTATTTTTCACTAAAAACAATAAAAATATTTTTCACCATTTTAAAAGTCGTCCCATCAACCTCATGTTAGTTTAAACACAAATCTCATAAGTCTACTCATTAAATAAATAATTTAAAAGACCAAATACTATGGCTAAAATAAATATTTAAAAGATCAAAACAAAATATTTTATAGGTATTTGGAGTAAGAGTGATCGTTTCGTGAGTTTGACTTTAAATGTAAAAAAATTTAATCATTTATGAAAAATACTTAGACTCCTCGACCATGAACTTTATCCTCCTCACTATTAAATATTTGACAACTTATTATTATTAAAAAAAATCTATCTTTATATTTTTCTCTCCTACTTGTTAAACATTTAATGCGGAGGATGACAAAATTGCTACTCTTGAGGAGCCAAATTTTTCCATCATTTATATATATACATTCTTTTCACTTGTGAGCTTAAAAATTTGATCACACAAGATCCCGCAAGTAGAAATTAAATGGAGAAGAAATGATATTAAAGTAATTATTAATACCGTATTAAATCCTTAATTAATCTAAAAACTTATGTTGGTGAGTTAATCATTTATAAATATTTTAACAGTATTACTTAGCGAATTCTCGAATCTACTTTAGGACATTTCCTAAACCTAGTTCCAAAACCCTTTCCTTAAACTCTCCGACCTCCTCTCTCAGGTTTTGTTATAAATCGTACCCTGCTTGAAAAGTACGTGCTCATCTCTTCGCTCTCCTCCCTTYCGCTAATGTAAATATCCCACGTGGTATTCATTTYTCTTTTTAACCAGTACGCTGTTGGTGTATTTTTACACAAAGAAGATGCTTGCAATTGAGAAGATTGAAGTCGTAAAGTTTGATGCGAAGATAACATGCTCTTTATTAATATTCTCAAGCTTAAGACGACGAGGAGTCGGTGGTTTGGACGGAAATAATATTTAAAATGAAAGATAAAAGAAAAAGGAAAATAGGGATAGGCGTGGCGTCGAGGAAAGCGGTGGTCCTATCAGCTTCGATTCGACGCCCTCTGTGGAACAAATCGTATTTGTAGTACCACGTGCTCCAAATTCGCCTCCACTTTTTCTCTAATCTCTTTTTTCCTCTCCCCACGTGCTTAAAGATCCCTCATCTCAATTTCCCTCTCTTCTCCCCCACCGGCCTCCGCTTCTTCCCCTTCCGCCGGAATCTCTCTTTTTCCTCTCTCTCGATCGATCGCTTGATTTGGCTCTGCGTTCTTCAGGATGATCTCGTCTAGCAAATTTTGGATTATTTTCTTTCTATCGATTCCGAGCTTTTTACTCTCTTTTATCGAGCCGATCTCTTCTTCCGGCGGCGGTGATCACGGCGGCTCTGCTCTAATTGGCGCCGGATGCGGCGCCAAACCGATTCTGAATTCTGCCTCTCTGAAGAATCGGAGTATTGGAACGTTTATGTCTGGATTGGAATCTCAGAGCTGCGAGGTGTGGACGGACGCCTGCTCTGAGGCGATCCTCAGTTTGGCGAAGCGGACGGAGGTGGTTGATTGGTTGAAGAAGGTGAGGAGGAGGATCCACGAGAATCCGGAGCTTGCGTTTGAAGAATTCGAGACGAGTCAGTTGGTTCGCGATGAGTTGGACCGGATGGAAATTAGCTATCACCATCCTTTGGCTAAGACCGGCGTTCGTGCTTGGATCGGGACTGGCGGACCGCCTTTTGTCGCTCTCAGAGCCGATATGGATGCTCTTCCAATCCAGGTTCTCCTTGGAAATCTGATATCTCCTTCATGATCATATGCTTCTGAATCTGCGATCGCTTTTTTTTCTTTCCTCTTAATTCCGATCGATTGATTGCCTTGATGTCTCTGTTTAGCCTTGAAATTGGAAACAACGTGAGCGAGCGAATTAGAAAAGGAAGAAAACGCGGATTAGAATTTTAAAAAACCGCATCCTTAAAATTATTTTTGTAAATAAGTTAGCGAAATGATTCTTATCTGTTAAAATCCAGTTGTAATTTGCCCCTAAAWATTTCATAGCTGAATTTCTACGAGCTCAGTTAGTTTTTCTTACTCCTTTCCTTACGAGTTGAAATTTCTTCTTTGTTCTTACTTTTAAGCTAATTTTTAGATTTTTATAAAAAAAATATCTCATCGAATATTTTTTTAGTCAATTTTCATTTACAATGGAGATATAGATTGTAAAAACTATTCTTCATTCTTGAAGAAGTCGTAGAGTTTTTCTTTGTTATTATTATAATAGCGTGAGTGACTCAGGGCATAATAGTGGTACTGTATCTTTTGGATCTCTCTCTCTCTCTTAATTTTTTTGCACGTGTTTAAATCTCTTCTTTAAGATAAATAAAATAATATAACTTATTGAGAAAGAATAGTTGGATTAAATGACATGATTTAGAAATATGGTATTTTATTATTATTATTTTTTTTTTTGAAAGTCAGTACAATCCATAGCCCCATAAATTTTCCAGATAAAAGGATAAGTGGAAATGGTAGACATGGTTTCTGTTGTACCTTCGAACAGGTTGAGGTTGAGGTTGAGGTTGAGGTGGGTCATAACATTTACGAAATTTTCTAGGTATATTTGATATTTTAGTTTGTATTTAAGTTCTACACCATAAATTACGGATGGTTGAACTGAATCTGATCAATCTCCTTTTTTGTCCATAAATTTTAAYATTTATTTTTAATTTTTGAACTTTTTTTAAGGAAAATTATTCTTTAAACTTTGTTTTGTTTTAGCCTTTAAATCTTACCTAACTAATTATTTCAGTCCTTAACAAAACTTCCCTTAAGATCTTCACATCTAAACATGTGCATTATTAATTAGGTAAGACGAACGAAATACATGTTACATAATGATATATGAGAAATGACAAAGAAGTAAAATGATTTGACTTCACAACTTAAAAAATACTAAAATAAAATGCCTGTAATTTTAAGACAAATGCTATGGAATGGGAATTCTATCTGTTTTAGGACTTGAGTTGTTACAATGRTTAATTTCTTGACACTATTTTTAATGAGATTAGAAAATGTGGAAAGGCATTGAAGAATGAGCTTTAAAATTAATGGTGCAGGAGGCTGTGGAATGGGAACACAAAAGCAGAGTCCAAGGCAAGATGCATGCTTGTGGGCACGATGCTCATGTTACAATGCTTCTTGGTGCTGCCAAGATCTTAAAGGATCGTGAACATCTATTGAAGGTTTGTCAAACGCCTCTCATTTTTCGATTTGCTTGAGAAAAGAAACAACGAAAATTTAGTTTTTAGAAAATTAATATGATAATATTATTTCATCTTTAAGAATTTGCAGTAGTTAAAAATTCACTGATGTTTAGTGGGTACTTTCTGTTCTTTGATTTCAAAGCCTCGAAGTTGATTCAATTTTTTCAGGGAAATGAGGCATCAAAATTATCGAATTTAAGGAAACATTATTCTGCCAAAATTGTGGGCAAATTCTTTTGCAAAAAGGAAGGGGGGATGGGAAAGTTGACTTTTTCAGTTGCAGAAATTGAAAATATAGACTACGAATAGTCACTAACCATAATAAATACATAGGAAGTCCTTTTAACTGTAAATGAGAAGAAATTAATGGCTCTTGAAGTCTTCTCGTTGCAGGTACAATGCATAAACTACTTTATTCTAGCTTTAGTTCTATATGGACAATTGGCTTTTTTTTTTCATTACCAAAACAGTTCTCAACTTCCCCAATTAAGTGGCTGTAAAAGTTATAATTATTTTATCTTTAAATCACTATTTACAGGACCATAATTTAAATGGAAGAAGTCATAGGTAGAAACAAACAAAAAGTCCAAAAGAAAAAACAGAACATTGCTTTCTGAAAACGGCTCCCAAACAACTACTACTGAGTAGCTTATTACTCTTCTGTTGTCTTTTCTCACGTGTTCTTCTTTTCTGCTATCTTTTCCCTCTTAATTCCGATCATTAATCTAAACCACTTTGCAAACAGTTGAAAATATATATATATATATATATCATGCTTCTCAACAAAACAATCAACAGGGAAGTTTTGTTCTTTTTTACTCGGAATTTAGCATCTGCACATTTTTTTTTCCCAAAAGGTTATCCCATTCCATGAACACAGTCGATTTTTTTTTCCAATAAGTAGACCAGCAAGTAACATGATTTCTCAGATTCTCTGTCGGCATAATGTTGTCTCGAGTTGTATCTTATCTTTATTCTTTTGGCTGTGGGGTACTCAAAAATCTGGAATCTGTGATCACAGTTCACTTACCATTGTACTGTTTTACAGGGGACGGTGATTCTGCTGTTTC